AGATGTCAACATTACAAATATTATAGTCTTGGTGGTGAGGTATATATACATATAAATATATGTATATACTGGTGATTGTTTGTTTAGATACAATTTTCTTTCAAAAAAGCAGTGCCATGGATGAATATTGTAGAAATAATGTTGGTATATTTTAGGCATTCACTGTCACATCTTTGTTTATGTTCCAGGTAATTTCCTGCACAGAATGTCCAGCTGGTTTTTCCTGTGCTAACGCTGCACAGCCACCCCAAGCATGTAGTGTTGGTCAGTATTCAACCTCTGGACAAACAGCGTGTGTTGATTGTCCAGCCGGCCAGTCATGCATTGACCCTGGTGATACACCTCAGAATTGTGATGCTGGCTACTACAGTGGCCTAGTAAGTATTTAACTTGTGAAGGTTCAAACTGAATTGAAAATGATGTCATTTTCTTTATGCTTACATTATTAAAAGTTTATCATCAGTTATCAGGAAATTTTTTGAGAGTCCAAAATGTCATTCAAAATCTTTAACAATTCACACTTTTGCACTTGAGTTTTTGCTCAGTGACATGAGATAAACAAATCATGTTATTTTTTTGAATTTTAATATTGTTTAATTTAGTGTTTTTTTCTGTGTGATAATTAGTTATTCTGTATTTACAAGGTCTTTCCCATAATGCATTGTATACATGCACAGCAAGCATTCTCACTACCATTAAATTTGAATTCATGGCAATATGCAAAATGTCAAATGAATTTTTCTTTGGCATTTCACTTGTCATTACTTTCCCAATTGTTTTTAATTTATGCTATTACTGTGCTAAACATGTGAAATTAAAAGAAGCTGGACATTTGTAAAGACTTTGATTCATTTCAAAATAAGGACTTGGGTTACATCTGTCTTTGCATACATGTGTGTATGCGTCCATACAATGCCATTTCTTGCTGATTGCATCCATACTTGGTGTTTTGCGATTTGATTTGATTTAAACTTGCTACTTTAATTGTGATATAGCCTGTCCAATTGTTGATAACATCTAATTAATGTTAACTTGTAGGGTGATTCACAGTGTTACCCATGTCCTGCTGGCAGTGACTGCACTGATGCGGCTGTCGCATTGGCGGATTGTGCAAGTGGTTATTACAGTTTACGTGGTCAGCATGGATGCACTGAATGCCCAGCTGGCTCTATGTGTCCAGACATTGACCAGGAACCAATAACATGTGCTGTAGGACAACATACAGATGGGTTAGCAGGACAGATAACATGTACAGATTGTCCACCAGGAAAATACTGTTCTGATACATCGTGAGTATTGCTGTTTATTACCTGAAAATTGTCAGTTTGTATCTATAGAATAGAATAGAATAGAATAGAATAGAATAGAATAGAATAGAATAGAATAGAATAGAATAGAATAGAATAGAATAGAATAGAAAATAAAATAGAATAAGATAAAATAAAATAAGATAGAATAAGATAAAATAAAATAAAATAAAATAAAATAAAATAAAACTCTTCTCATAGGCAGCATGAATGTCATTGCTGCTCATATAAATTGTTATCAGATGAGGAATTATAAGCATGTAAATGAGAAAACATAGATTACATGAGTTTTCATTCATCTGTGTATAGTTTAAATCTATATCACCCTGGAGGTCCTTTCAATATTTCAGGAAAGAACAACACATTTTTCAACTTAAACCTTGCACGTCATTATGGGATTATGGGATACATTAACATTACCACATCATCTTAATATCGTAAGTCCTAACTTGATATAAATTATATTATTTTAACAGGGTAGCACCTCAGGACTGTTCAGCAGGTACCTACAGCTTAACTAATTATGTGGCGTGTACCGACTGTCCTGCTGGATATGAATGTCCAACAACAGATGCCGCACCAGTTGCCTGTGATCCAGGATCTTATACTGCAAATACTGGATTAGCAACATCCTGTACGCCATGTGAAGCTGGCTATGCATGTCCATCCACTAGAGATGTCAGTGAGAAATTTGCATGTCAACCTGGTAAGATATACAGTTGATTAGATTAAGTTTGACAGGATTAGGTTAAGTGAGATTATATTATTAATATCTGGAGCAGCATATCTATATGAATACAATTTAAACAGATTTTACCAAATCAATAAAGTACATTGGCTTAGAGGCTAAAGTTAGACAAAAATTTTGCCATTACCCAACCTTTTAACTCTTGCTCTGTAATTTTATGGCAGGGATTTATTTTAAGAAATTGTCACATGGGGTGATTACCACCATGTGGTGTCTCAAATTAATTTACCGATATTATCTGCCTGGCAAGTAACTGAATCATATGTCAGATCTTCATAATCTGTTTTTCTAGTATTCTGTCAAACTCCTTGACAAATTGGCCTTAGATGATGATACAGAACTGAAACTGAAGTGTTGTAGTTTTACTGTTTTAAACTGATTTGACTAATTTCTCACTTAATTGCATGAGAGTCACCTTGCTTTCGTTTGGAAATTTCACCTCCTCTACTTCTAATCATCTCCAGAACAATTTTGGATGAATCGGAGTAGTTCACAAATAAGTTGGTAAGATGAATTCCTTTTGATAATGTGGTCACACAACTTTGTTTTGCCTTTCAAATTTTGAAGGCATCTAGTTGATATAATGTAACAACCTAAGGGACGACGTTAAAAGATCGATGTCGGATAAAAAACTTAATTCCTTTAGTTTTTTTCAAAAACACCACCCCCACCCCTACCCCCATTGAAACTTAATTGATAAATATTCACCATTAAATACAAATTGATAATCGGACAGTAGTATGGCATAGCACTTGGTTGACTGTAATAATGACTACTTTTCTGGGTTCTGTGCATGCTCTAGGTCCATGCCCTGAAATTGACCTCATTTGACACACATATTTAAACTAGGACCAAATCATTTTCTCGTCTTGGATGTTTGTTTTTTTATTTTCTGTTATTTTTGTCTATGATTGGATAGAAAAAAAACAAACTACAAATACTCCAAGATTTTTTTGAATTCATTAAAAAATAAAATTGTTTTTGTAAGATGCAAACTTTTTGAGGTCAAAACCTCCCACCCCCAAACTAAAGCAAATAAGTTTTGTTATCCGACATCGATCTTTTGACGTTGTCCCTAACCAGCTTGTTGAAACATATCAGTTTTGCAAGGTAATTTGCAGTATTGATGTCTCAGTCTCACAGGTGCTTACTTCCTTACTTAACACCTTATTACTACAAGTATTCTAGACTTGTATTCTGATAATATTATCTTTTATAGGTTCCTATGCGTTGGCTGGAGCATCATATTGTACTGCATGCACTGCTGGGAAAGAATGCCCAAACACAAATGATGACTCCACCATTACAGACTGTACAGCTGGCACATACTCTTACAGTGGGTATGCAAGCTGTCAATCCTGCCCGGCTGGCTGGAAATGTACAGAAACAGATGGCAGTGGCAATGCACCTTGTATTGCGGTAAGAAACACAGAGAAATAATCCTGTCTTTATAGAATAGAATAGAATAGAATAGAATAGAATAGAATAGAATAGAATAGAATAGAATAGAATAGAATAGAATAGAATAGAATAGAATAGAATAGAATAGAATAGAATAGAATAGAATAGAATAGAATAGAATAGAATAGAATAGAATATTGCTCTGTTACAATGTCTTACAATGTATAGTTGCTATAGAATAGAATAGAATAGAATAGAATAGAATAGAATAGAATAGAATAGAATAGAATAGAATAGAATAGAATAGAATATTGCTTTGCTACAATCTTAAAGAAAATTTGAAAATCTTTTTTGGTTTCTACACATGTAGAAGGGAATAAAACTAAAAACAAAACAAAAAGTGTGATATATGATAGATCATCAAGTGTTAGCTACTTAAATTCAAATAGCAATTCAAAATAATTATGGAAATTCAAACACATAGGAAATAATTGATAATACAGTTCACTTAAATTCAGACATCAATTATTTCAAATGAAACCCTAATAAAACATTATAAATGATCCCAGAGGACAATTTTATCTGAACCCTGTATAAATTAGAATGCCTGGACATCAATAATATTTGGCTCAAATTCAATGATAACTCTTTTCTTGATCACTGATTTTTTTTTTTTTTATAATAGCAGTAAAAAGTTAAGGATTTGTTCATTTTGTGATGACATTCTCAATTTTCAATTTTTGTCGAATATTTTGACATTTTTGATAAAAAATGCTATTTTTGACTTCTTCTTGAAAACTACTAGCTCAATTGCTTTAAGCAAATATTTTCATGTTCTTTTTGAATGTTACTAGCCAGATTGCTTTAGTATTTGAGTAGTACATCATTTTTGTGAACATTTTGTTTGATAAAGTTGTGTTGACATTTTCTCAACAAAGAGAGTTTTGTCTTACAGATGTGCATTGCATTGCTACCGTCTTGAAGGACAACAGAGCTATTTTGACTGTCAAGTCGCTTGTTGTGTTTTGTTTCTTGTTTGCACTGCTCATTATTTTCAGCCAATCACACCAGTAGTTTATGTGTAATACTTCCAAAGTATTAAAGAATTGATGTTTATTTGTTTGTTTGTAGGGTACATACTCCACTGGAAGTGCTACTGACTGTACTGCATGTCCTGCAGGTAAAGCCTGCCCTCGAACAGACACATCTGACCAGATTGACTGTGTTGCAGGTTACTATTCAGTTGGAGAACAGACTGTGAGTACATCTTTGTATTTTCAATAATTTATACTGCTCCAATAAACTCTACAGTTGACCTAGACAGAGAGAAATATTGTTTATCATTTTTAGTCAGTCCATCAACATTTAATTTTGATTTCTAGAAACCATTAATGAGATTATTCTGTGATGCTAACAAATGAAGTGGTTCTCTCTAAGATTTCTTTATTTCCAGACAATAACTGCAATTTTGTTTAAGCCATCTCTCTAATAAGTTTTATTTTATGTCATCATATGCATCAGTTTTACCCCTGCACCTCACACATTTTTTGGGCAATTTTATGTCTTGGTGAAGTGCGCCACATATGGGAGAATGAGGAAAATGTTTGCTTTCTGTTTCAGAGAATGTTTTGTTGATTAAAATAAACCCTTGATACATGTAAAAAAAAGTATTATTTAAGAAATATTAAAAGTTGAACATATATGTTGTGGTTATTATATTAATTTAAAATTCTCTTAATACAAAAAAAAATTGAACCATGTCATCATCAGAAAGAGAAGCAATATTATTGGGTGGGGGGTGGTTTGGCTGATGGTTTTTGAAAGCCACTGCTCAGATTACTAAGATGCTTAACCTGACCAGATTGTTAGTGCCTTCAGAATACTGAAGCTATGTGTTGTTATTTTCACAGAGTTGTACTATGTGTCCTCCGGGATATGAGTGCCCTGATTCAACATCAGATACAGAAACACCATGTGCTGATGGTTTCTATAGTACGGGAGGACAAGATGCATGTACACCATGTCCTGCTGGATCATCATGTCCGTCAACATCAGATAACTATCAATTTGTGTGTTGGGCAGGGAGTTATGCAGAGTCTGGTTCCAAGGTAAGTTGTATGTGGTGATGGTAGAATGGTTAGCGTGTTTGTCTTGCATCAAGGGAGTTGTGGGTTTGATTCCCTGAGCTGACTGTTTACTCAGTATCATATAAATCAGAGTACAGTCTGCTCTGCCTTTCAAACATGTGGTATCAAGTTCACATGTGCACTTTATGAAAAAGTTTGTAGTTATTTTTCAACTCTGATGACTCAAGAGAATATTAAATGGTCACACCTTGTGACATATAGTAAGGTAGTAAGGCAGCTGGTTTTTCTTTTTAGGTTTTTTTTAGCTACAAATATTTTTATCATTGTTTTGATATTTGTATAATACCAATTTTACCAAAAGTATTCATAATTTTTACTTTCAGTCTTTTCACCACCAGTACTTCTTTTCATCACAAATTTGCAAAATAGTTCTGTTCATAGTCTGCTGTTTTCTTCAGAAGATCCGGACAAAAATAGCCAAATGTTTTGAGTGAAAATTGAAAATTGACTCAAATTTGGTATGTTGGCTCCAAATTTAAGGTTCTTTTTCAGAAATTTTGAAGAATATAGGAAAAAATGCAGAAAAATTTGGACGAAAAAATCTATTGGTGAAAATGCTAGACCAGCAATATGTCTTGTGTGTTGTGAGTTTCTTATTTGTTACTTGTGAGTGTCTTGTGAGTGTCTTGTGTCACCGTCATATTATACACCTTTGATTTGTAATAACATCTATTGTACTACTTTGTAGGAATGTACACAATGTCCTGCTGGTAAGGAATGCCCAACTACCACAGATGCTCCACTAGATTGTGCTGTAGGTTATTATAGTCTTGGTTCACAGACTGCTTGTACACCGTGCCCAGCTGGATTCTACTGTCCACAGAATGATGTAGAACCTCAGATATGTGATATTGGTTTCTATAGCAACCAATCATCTGTTGTGTGTTCAGAATGTGATCCTGGATACGCCTGTCCAGAGGGCAGTGAGAGTAGAGTACCAACTGATGGACTTTGTAGGCAAGGTAAA